CAATCTGCCCCTGTAATGCTTGAGGCAACCATGGAAGTTTCAGCTACTAAAGGCATGGATGTCGAGGATCAGGCTGTGGAAGATGAGTTGCAACAAGCGAGCACCAATAACAATGATGAGAATGATGTTGCATATGTATCACAAGCAGAACCAATTCTAGAAGAGGAGGTAAGCCAACTACAATATGCTCCTGTCAAGCTTGAGGTAACCATGGAAGTTTCAACTACTAAAGGCTTGGATGTTGAGGATCAAGCTGTGAAAGATGACTTGCAACAAGGGAGCACCAATAACAACGATGAGAATGATGTTGGATATGTGATGCCTGCAGAACAAATTCTAGAAGAGAAGGTAAGCCAAATCCAATCAACCCCTCTTGAGATCAAGCCTACAACGCAAGTTTCAGATATTGAAGTTCAAGATACTATAGGTCAGAATCTAGATGATGGGATTGTACAAGTCATCGATGAGGATGCGAGTAAGAGTTGCATCAAGAATGTTGAGCGGTCATCCTATCAATTAGAGACTCAACCAGTTCAAGATGAGGGAGTAAATCACAACATGTTGGAACAATGTGCTGAAACCGATCCACTTGGAAGCTCAATTCTGGTTAGACTTATGATCCTTTTTCTTTAACAAAAATGTGGTTAAGTGTTCATTTGGATGGTAGCCATTGAATGTTAGGAAAGTATTATCTGTTCCCACTACATATTAAGAGATACCCAATAATGGCATATAAAGAGTGCTCGCAAAATCTAACTAGTTGCGTACCCATCTGTTGCTTGGGTACATTTCTCTAAAATATTGTTATTTATATTACATAAGGTAACTTGTAACAATATTTAGTTAAATAGTATTAAAAATGTCTAAAGTTAAATTTACTACCAAACAATTTGATTTACAAAATATGAAGAAACTCATAATGAATCACAATAGTTATATATGGAAAAAAATGTACAAGGTAAAAGCAAAGTAAGTTTGTGTTCATATATTGTTGCTTGAGTACTTTGTTTATAAGTTATTATGTTTACTAAACTTGAAACATAATTCATAACGATATTACAACAATATTAAAAGTACATAAAACAATGTGCTAACTAACAATAACAAGCTAAAAAAAAGGTTATGCTAATATCTCGATCTAGAAAATAAGGGGTTGTTTCTAAACACTTACTCTCCTTACCGGGTAATTGGCCACTCATTGGTGTTGAAAATAAGGGATGCTTACCTATTCAGAGATGATTGTCTTTACCAACAATCTTACTTTGCCATTTTGCTGTCCGTGAATCTTACCCTGCAAATGAGGGTGGTGACTCTTACCTGGTTACCGCTTACCAGGTAAGAGATGCTATCTCTTGTTGTATATACTCATTTTTGCTCATATCTCTCATTGTATGAGTATGACCACACATCTATTGCCATTTTGACATTTTTTCTACACACATCTTGTTACAAGACATATTCTGTTGTCGAACTTATGGTGCCTAAACTGTCCAAGAACTAAAACAATAAAGCGTTCGTGATTTTTCTCTATAAAATATCTGCCTTTGTGTTCAAGTCCCTTCTCAAGTATCTTTGGTTGACTTAGAATTCACAAGAGACTCTATTGCTAAGGTGGCAAGGTTGGTTAAGGAAAATCAATAAACAAGGTTGGTTAAGACAAATCAATAAGCCTAACATAGGGCTACCCTTCGTTCTTCCAGCATTGCCTCTTTTTATCACTTCACTTTTGCAAACTGCTACCCCCAGATATCCATGATATACTACCTTATATTTTATCGGTGTTAAAGGTGAAGGTTTAGCTATCATTAATTGCTGATTTGAGTCTAATTTCTTTATGGCATATCTCGTAAGTCGTACCATTAGACATTTTACACGCTGTCTCACCACTAATGATCTCTATGAGCTGAAATTTTTTTCTTGTAATTTTTGGAACCAACCGGTTGTTTTTTTTCTATGATTTCTAGCTTAAACAAGGTACCTGTAGCTCACTACTGGAAGCAGAAAGAATTGAGGACATGGTAAGTAGCAGTGAACTTGTTGAAGCATCAGAAGATAGTGCAACAGTGTTAGCCACTGAAGCCAAAGTGATAAGGTACTATGCACATGTCTTCACTTTTGCATACTTGTTTGGTGAAAACTGTGTGTCATATGATAAACGAGAATAGTCCTATGAGCTCATGAAAATTTAATGTTCAATAGCAGAGAACACTGCTATATGTCTAGATTTGTGTTTATAGGTTGTAGTTTGCAGATGTTTGAGGATTTTATATAAGGCAAGGAGATTTTCATAATTTAGGTGTGACTTTACAAGCAAAGGGTTGTTCAGGCAGTCTTTTAGGCTCTATGAAGAGTTCCCTTGGCAGAATCATTGGGAATGCTAGTCTCTGGGCTTTTAGGCTATTTTGTGATGGAAGATCGTCAAATTCTGGGGAATTATGAATTTGACACTTGTAATAAAGGTATAGACCTCATTCAAGTACTAGGGGAAAGGAGACAATAAATTAGATAGCTCTAGTTGCTGAAAAATAATCCGTGGCAATTTATAGACTTTGATGAACTCATTATTATCTGTAAATTAGTTATTAGCTGTAAATTAGATGTATCATTTTTAGAATTAGTCTTATCTATTTTAGGTTGTTATTTGGTAAATGATCCCCCCTAATTGAGTGGAGATTTGTTCCTGATTTGTAGCTTCTCCCTTGTATTTATATTCGAATGTTTGTGAATAAAGATCATCTTGGGAAATACATTTGCTTTCATGGTATCAGAGCTAGGCTCGATACCCTAGCTCTCGTTCTTCTCAAATCACCGAAGATCAAACCACGGTTTGATTTCTTCTCTGCCTTCACCTTCCAGTTGCTATCCATGGTTGACAAGCCTGAAAATGTCACCAAGACCCTTCACCCCGTTTACACCGTGACCAACATTCAACACAAGATCCGGGTTCTTGATGGTACGAAGGTCTCATACTCTTCGTGGGTTAAGTTATTTCAACTACATGCCAAGGGATACAAAGTCATTTCACACATTGACGGAACACCGCCTCCGGCCAAAACTGATGCAGAGTATGAAGCATGGACTGAAATTGATGCGATTGTATTGCAATGGATTTACGGGATGTTGTCCGATGATTTACTGGTTCGTGTCTTGGTAACCGAGTCAACTGCCCAAGATGCCTGGTCTCGAATCAAAGCCATTTTCTTCAACAACAAGGGATCTAGGGCGGCGACAGAGCATGAATTCAATAACCTCACATTAAAATCCATGCCGTCTCTTGAAGCTTACTGCCAAAAACTCAAGGAACTGGGCAGTCAACTCAATGGCGTGGATTGTCCGGTTAATGATCAGAGGCTCGTTCTTCAACTTGTTAGAGGACTTTCGGCATAATACGACACCGCGGCCTCGTATATCAATCAAAGTCTTCCCACGTGGGAGACTGCATGTAGTATGCTCGAGTTGGAACATCACCGATAAAATGCCCGGGAAACCATGTCCATACAGACTGCAATGGCTGTTGTTTCCTCAGAACCACCACATGATCCTTCAAACTATGTCAACAGAAGATGCCCCAATAACAGGCCCGGACATAGGCGGCCCAAGGCCCTAGGCGTGGTTCAGGCCAGCCTCAGTTGACTTAGTCGCCATGGATCTCTCAGCCAAATCGGCTGCCCAATTGGGCCAATTGGAGCCCACCGCCATGTCCGTATCCCACCAACTCTGGATGGGCCACTCCTTGGGCTGGATCTTGCAAGTCAGCCGGGCCCACACCTCACAACCCACCTGCACATTGCAAGTCAGGCCCAAGACCTCCTGGCCCAGCAACGAACCACGCTAATCTCACTGCCTTTAACCCCCTTAAGCCAACTCAGCTTGGCGAAGCACTTCAGACAATGACCATGGACCCGGTTGATGATCAATGGTACATGGACTCGGGTGCAACAGACCATCTCACGGGCGACCAAGGTAAGATTTCTAAAACCCTCGTTAAATTGTCCCAGTGGCTCAATATTTGTTGGTAATGGTGCTCCTATGCCGGTTCGTGGATCGGGTTCCTCCACCATTCCAACGACCACACGTAACCTACACCTAAACAATATTCTTTACACACCCAACATCATTAAGAATCCATTTCTGTTCGTAAACTTTCTGTTGATAATGATGTTTCCATTGAATTTGATCCCAATGGATTTTATGTGAAGGATTACCAGAGTCAGATGCTGTCCCGCCACAATAGCTCGAGCCGTCTATATCCTCTCACCTATCCGATCACCAACTCCATTTTTTTCACCTCGAGTGCTCGAGATGTTTGGCATGATCGATTGGGACATCCCGGTCTTCCTGTTTTGGATTCTCTTAGTTTGAATAAAATTATTCCATGTCCTAAACGTAGTAGATCTTTGGTTTGCAATTCTTGTCAGCTTTCAAAGCACAAACGATTACCGGTTTTCGATTCTAATTCTACTACTGTTTTACCGTTTGATATTGTTCATTGTGACTTACGGACATCTCTTGTCCCCAGCAAAACAGGTTATAAATATTACATGGTTTTAATAGACGATTTCACACAATATACTTGGGTTTTTCCAATAAAATTCAAGTCTGAAACATTTTCCAAATTCTCTTAGTTTCATAAATACATCCAAACTCAATTCAATCTCACAATTAAAGCTTTTCAATGTGACTTAGGGGGTGAATTCGATAACCAAAATTTCAAATCTTTTGCTGAAACAAACGGTCTACTCTTCCACTTCTCTTGCCCTCACACTTCCCAACAAAATGGGAAATCCGAGCGTATGATTTGTAGACTTAATGAGATCATACTCACTCTTCTCACACACGCATCTCTCCCACGCCATTTCTGGGTTGAAGCATTACATGGCGCGTGTTATCTCCACAACATTTTCCCCACCAAACTCTTAAAATTCACCACCCCTATGACTGCTCTTTATCATCGACAACCTTCCTATGACCACCTACGGGTTTTCGGGTGTGCGTGTTATCCTGACACAACCGCGACACGGAAAAACAAGTTAGAACAGCGGTCCACTTGTATCTTCCTCGGGTACCCCGCCAATTTTCGCGGGAATCGGTGCCTTGACCTTTCTTCCGGCTAGGTCCTCCTCTCTCGTCATGTCACTTTCAACGAGACATCTTTTCCATTTTCTGAAGATCATCCCACCACACCCTTAGACTACTCATTCCTCGAGTCTGACCCATCTCCTACCATCTTTGACCCACCAACCACTTTACAACCTACTCCCCTGCCAACAACCCAAAACTCTTCTGCCCAAAACACTTCCCCGTCTACCACTCTTCAACAGCCTCCTCCTATCCATACCTACCACCGCCGGAATACACAACCACTAGTCACCACAACCCCCACCTGTCTCCCGGGGTTGGTCAATTCACCAACTCGACGTTAAAACTGCATTTCTTCACGGGGACTTAAATGAAACAGTATATATGTTTCAACCTCCGGGGTTTACAGATACCGCTCATCCAAATTATGTATGCAGGTTACGCAAGTTTCTTTATGGGCTTAAACAGGCCCCTAGGGAGTGGTATGACAGATTTGCTACCTACATTACCAAGTGTGGTTTTCGGAGTACCGTTAGTGACACTTCCCTATTTGTCTACAAAAAGGGACATGACATGGCCTATTTACTGTTTTATGTTGATGACATCATACTCACGACCTCTAATGACCAACTTCTCACTATCATTGCTCTTTTATCTCGTGAGTTTGCTATGTCAGATGTAGGTATCCTTAATCTTTTTCTCGGGATCCAAGTTAAACATAAAGACGGTAGCCTGTTCCTTTCACAAGAATATTATGCCACTAAGATTCTATCTCGGGCTCATATGGCGGATTGCAAACCCAGTTCCACTCCTGTTGACACTTCCCCCAAAATGAGTTCAACAAGTGGTAAACTACTACCTGATAGGACACATTATCGCCAAATTGGCAGGAGCTTTACAGTATCTTACTATCACCCGTCCGGATCTTACATATGCGGTACAACAAATTTGCTTATTCATGCATGCCCCATGTGATCCACACTTCCGGTTCCTCAAACGAGTTCTCCGTTATCTTACAGGACAATTGTTTACTGTGATAATATATCGGCTGTATACCTATCTGAAAATCCCATACAACATCAACGTACAAAACATGTGGAACTTGTTATCCATTTCGTCAGAGAAAGGGTCAAAATTGGTGCAGTCCGGGTTTTACATGTTCCAGCCGATTTTCAGTACGCCGGCATCTTCACAAAAGGGCTACCGTGTCATCTTTTCCATCGTTTTCGGTCCAATCTGTGCATTCGTCCTTCTACTACTCAGACTGAGGGGGTGTATTAGCTGTAAATTAGCTATTAGCTGTAAATTAGATGTATCATTTTTAGAAATGGTCTTATCTATATTAGGTTGTTATTTGGTAAACGATCCCCCCTAATTGAGTGGAGATCTGTTCCTGATTTGTAGCTTCTCCTTTGTATTTATATTCGAATGTTTGTGAATAAAGATCATCTTGGGAAATACATTTGCTTTCACTCATAATGTCGATATGTCGAGTTCTCTGCTTAGACATCAAACACTTTAAATACTTTCAATCTGCATCATAAAGGTTTACTACTCGGTGGTAGACATGGCATTGCCCTTGGCCATTATTACCCTGACCCATTTCTAGAAGAATATGAAACCAACCATTTACTTAAGAATAAAAGTATATTTGGATACTCAACTAGTAGTTGATAGGAACTTTATAAATGTTCCAATGAATCTTAAATTGACTATGCCCATTTGATTTATTCTTCGATATGCTGTGACTACACATGATGATTACCTTCTCTATTTTCATTCTCTTTACTTACCAGTGCAACATCAACTTCATAATGCTTATGGGTGGAATTTTGGACCCAACTAATTCTCTTTAGTTTGTGCAACTTAGCAGGGAGGAGATTTATCTCACAGGCTATTTCCTGTCTTCTGGTGCAGCTTTGTTGGAGCATCCATCTAAGGTAGCATTTCTTAGATTTCTATTTTCATTACTATGTTTTCAGACAATCATTTCACTGAGAAATCTACAGTTGTCAACGTATAAGTTCGTTTTTCATTTTGTCTGTGACGAAATGATGTTACAAGGTAACGGTGCCAAGGATTGTAGTTTTAATGGTGATTGGTCGAGTCTGTATCTTTGACTAATTAATTCTCTTTTTAGGTAAATTTACATCGATAATGACTTCCATCCTACAATAATTCTCTTCATCTTAAAATATATTGGATATCTAACTGAAATACCAAGTAAATTTGTTACTTTTGGCATAAGAGCCAACCATGTGGATTAGTAATAGAAATAATAATTCCAGGCATTGACAGGTGGAGATGATGCCTATTTTGTGGCTGGCAGCAAATGGCTAGGGATGGCTAATGGAGTTAGTCAATGGTCGTTTGAAGGTATTCTTGCGGAAAATCACTGTTATTCTGTTCTTTCAGATTGATAGAAGCCTGCCCATATTTTGTAGATTATGTTTAGAATATTTGTGGCATTCACTTTCTAGCTGAAGGGGATCCCATCTTATAGCAGCAATTTTGATTATTTTTATTTGGAAAATGAATTTAAAAATGGCCATGAATTAGAATTTCGATTAGTAACTGAGATGGGACGTTTAAGTCTTGCCTTCATTTTCTTGTTCTCCAGGTAGAGTTGGGGTGCATATCTCTAAATAGTCTAGTGAAATCCCCATGTAGCAATTCATGTAACTTAATATTTCCATGTAATTGAGAATTGGGGTGTATAGGAATAATCGCTTATTGTCATTGTTTCCACAGGACATTTTTCTTCTTTTCTTGTTTTCCAAGTAGAGTGGGGGAGTATGACTTCTTAGTCTTGTGATCCTCCTCCCTCCAACCCCAAAATAAGTTGCATTAAAGTATTATAGAACACGTGCGAAGGGAACTAATTACTTTTCTGTTAAATGGGTGATTGATGAACCATCAAGTGGAATGCCTTCCATGGTGCATGTGAAATGTCCAGGACTTCCTGTGCCTTAAGCACCCTAGCCCTTTTATTGGTTTCCCAAGATCCTTATCTTTCAAAAGTTGTTCCTCATCACAAACATTCATTTGCTATAGGGATCTTCATCCTCTGTTGGGTTTAATGGTTCTCTCTCCTTCGGTGCAACTAAAAGGATAAAACTAGAATTAAGATTAAGGGTGAGGGTGAGGTGCTTATTATTGGTTCAATATGCAAACCAATCTCAGTTATATTCTTTTATCTCATCACACAGGCACTGATCCAGGAATTTATGCCCAAGAGCTCATGAGGACTTGTGAAGAGATTGTCTTGGATACCAGCAGAGCTCCAATAAGTAACCCTGCTGAACTTCTTTGTAGAGGTGTCAAAGAAACAAATATGTCAGGTTCATCAAGCGTTTTAATTGCGAACTTTGATGATCAGGTATGTTTTTATGATAATAAGCAAAGCATCGAGAATTTTTATGTGTTTTCTTATAGACACGATAATCTCAAAAGCTTCATCAAGCTATCTTGTCAGGGCTGTTACATGCTTACACTGGCATCAACATGGCCCACACATTGCTTTAGAACTCTGAAAGACTAACCTTTCAACCATGTACCATATAGGATAAGTTGAGTTGAATCGGCATGTTCGACTTTATGTGCAAATTAGGAGAAGTGGCTAACAATAAGTCAAATGGCCTGGAAAACTCTTGCATTTAACCCTACATTCAAAATAAAGTACAATGCAGACCAAAATGCTTCATTACTATTTTTTTGATGATTGCTATGGGACAAATAGGTAATATAGAAATAAAGGTTGCAGTTCTTGTGGGACATATAGTTATTGTGTATGTTCAGGTGATGGTGAGATATGGCTTGACTGTTTTTTAAGTGTTTGGCTCATTTTTATCATTTATGTTCTTGTTTAATTGCTTCTAGTACTTCAAGTTCAAAAATGAAAAGGAACACTTCAAATATTTGGACACCTTATGTATATATATGATCAAAACTTAAAATATTGATTTTCTGACTCCACAAATAATTAGAATTTTAGCATGTTTCCACTTCCCTCTGTTCCTCTCTATTTCCTTTTTCATACATACTTGTCTCATCTTTTAGTGTCTACTATGCATCTTTCTTGTTCGATTTTCTCAACATGCATAAGGTTTATATATTTGTATTATTTTCATCATCCAAATGGAGTTCGATCAACGTGTATATTGTTGAATTATATTGGTAAAGGTTCAAAACTCTGATGATGTTTCTTTGTTAAGTTATTTTGTTCATTTTGGTGTGTATGTGTGTTCTTGTTGTATATATGTGTGTCTGCAGGGTTGGAGGCCCATAGGGGCCTTTAGGGGCCAGCGTCCATCCGATTTTTCCATCTCCTAACTAGGCCAAACTTGGTCCACGATGTAAGAATGTTGTTTTTTAATTTGGGCTCCTCCACCATCCACACTCCAATCTCCATAGCCCAAAATCTAACAGTAAGTCGAACTATCCACCTCTTTTAATTTCTCCAGACTCTATTTCTCCTCATTCCTGAATGACTAAAGTTAAACCCACTGATTTTTCCCAACACTTCGATATTTCGGCCAAAAACCCATGAATACGGAGGCATTCGTGACAAATTTCGCCCAAGAAGACATTGGTCTTTTATCTTAAATTCTCTATCAAAGCATCAAATATTTCATTTTTCTAACTTCAAGTTATTAATTTCAGTTGTTATTTAGCTATACTAAAAGAGTACTCGCGCAATGCAGCGATACACATCTCGATTTTAATGTTCTATTTTATTATTTGCTTATGTCGATGTTATACTACGATTTTATGTGTTTTTAAGAAAACAATAATGATTTTATTTTTAAATAAAATATAAATTTGAAGATATCATAAAAATTTGAAAAAATTATATCAACGTTAATATCAAATCAATTATTTAAAAGATCTCATTTTTTATGTAATTTCTTTAATTTATTTTTTATT